ATTGGCGGTAGGAGTAGCCGTAGCAGTAGTCGTCGTCGTCGTCATCGCCTTCGCCGTCGCAGAAACGAAATGGTTTTGGGGGGTAGATTATACTATAACCAAAATAAGGGTTTTGGGGTATATTATACTATATATTCATAATCATAGGGCTTTGGGGGGGTATATTAGCTATTCCCCTCGTTGCTCCTCTACTGACTTTCGCCATGCAGAGTTTGACATCCTAGAATCTGAAAATGTGTACAGATTCAGCTTCTTTTACTCTTGTATTTCTGTCTCTGCAGATTCCTCCATCCATGGATTTCGCTACATACTCAACAGCGTCAGGGTAAGCTTCGACCCAACACCCCAGGAAGGCCTCTCCCACAACCCCGGAAATGCCTGACTTGAAGTCCCAGAGAAAACGCAGACACGCCAGGCCCGGTCCTCACAGAAAACACCTCCTGGGACGCCCGAAGTCATTCTCAGGAAAGGACCTGTCACTGCACACGCAACACTAAAGGGTGGCAGTTTAGGATCGTCCTCTTTCCAGCAAAACGGCTCCTTTCGGCAAAGGACTGGGAAGTTCTGTTTGGTTGCGCTTGTTTTGTGAACAGGCTAATTTATGGGGAACCGGCCCTTCACATTGGAAGTCTTCATGCTTGTCGCGATGCAGGACCCTGGAAACTGGAATTCTTCAATGGTTTGTCGCGGAAGACGACCCTGCCAATTTTAGTTCTTCCACGGCGGATTGTCGCATAAAGACCCGCACGCGGCCAACCCAGAATGCAAGAAGCAAAGGGTAAACTAAGCAAGCGGCACACCGAAACGTTGCAGACTGGGTGGGGCTTTAGGATTGCAGCATTCAGGGCTCAGGCCAAGGTTTCAGGCTGCAGGGGTCAGGTCCACTGTGGAGCTTGGTGCTTCAAGGACCGGGAAAGCAAGCTGCGGGAGCTGAGAAGCCGACAGATGCCCAAGTCTGTAGACAGGCATCGCGGGCACGCCCCTTCCTCAAGGGTTGTGTGTGTGTGTGTGTTGCCTCATGAGATCTCTAATAACACTGAAATAATAACAGCAATAATACTAATAATAATAATAACAACAATAGATTTCGGGCAGCGCAGCGTGGGCCGCGACAGTTTAGCGAAGCTCCAAAGGCGATGCCTTTGTAATGCGGCCCGCCGATGCCGCCGACCCTGCTTCATCACGCGTCTCGCTTCTCGTTTTTTGTGGCCTTGCATGCGTATGGGTATCAGGGCTGAGCGCTTGGACGACCGGTCTCGCATGGTGATCTCGGTCACTTGCGCCTGTTTCTTGTCTTTGTTCTTGTGTGTTCCCATCATGCATTGTTTCGACGTTTGTTGTCGTCCAATTTAAAACCTTGGGGCGTGAACTTGGGCGGCCCGCGGGTGATCATGCGCATCAGCTGAAATTGTTTGGGCTCCTGGAGGGGCCTATGATGGGTGGTGGCATTCAAGGCTCGGAAAATCATCAAAAAGGCTGTTTTTAGAGCCTTGGCGTGTTGACAAAGGCCCCCCATCCCCCCCCCCCGGGCTGGGGGGGGGGGCGGCGGCGGTGGCGCTCAAGGCGGAAGCCCCCCTTCGGCTGCGAGTTTGCGGTCGTCAGGGCCTGCCGTCTATAGTTGGAGTCAAACTAACTCTCGGAAAGGACTGCCTGTGCCGCCGGCACCTGGCGCAGCCCTTATAATATTAATAAAGAACAAATAAAACAATAAAAATAACAAACATGTTAATTTTGCCCCAAGAAAATGCTCCTGGGCATCATCGAAGACCACACTATCGCCGTCGCTGACATTCAGCCCGGCCAGGTCTACGCTGCAGGGGGTATGCCGGTCCTTTGGAATGCGATTAGGGTCAGGCAAGGTCTACGTTGCAAGGGGTATGCTAGGCTTTAGGTTTCACGGTTTGGGGTTTGGGGTTTAGGCGAGAGGTTTTACGGCTTTCAGCTTGGTGAGAATGTGGTTTGTTGCTGGATTGATGTTTTTGCTCACGTGCTGTTTGGGCAAGGAGCCTCCCTAAACAATGACACATAATAAGCTAATCACTGTCACGATCCGTGTCATCAACATCGGCAGGACCATGTTAACATTTGACTATGAGGAACCCCAACGTCCAAAACACCATGCCTCGAGGTACAGAGAGCTGGCGGAAGGCCTATTGTCGAAGGGCGGGCGCCTGGGGGGAATGCGGCAAACGACTTGTGACGCTGAATCCGAATTCCTGAAGCCGCATTGCTTCAGGTGACGCCGAATTGTGACGCCACATTGTCTGACGCCGCATTGGGTCGTGACGCCGCATTGTCTCCTTCCGCCGCATTGGGTGGTGACGCCGAGTTGCTGACGCCATTAGGTGGCGACGCCGAATTGCTGATGCTGCATTTGGTGGTGCCGCCGAATTGCTGACACTGCCTTAGGTGGTGCCGCCGAATTGCTGACGCTGCGTTAGGTGGTGACGCCGGATTGGTGATGTTGCATATTGTAGGTGGTGATGCCGAAGTGGATCGCGACGCCGGATATGAAACCAAATTACCCGAGGCCCCTTAGAGTTGATATCTGCTACAGGTCCATCCTCATGGTCAATGACCACGGACAGAGCGTCACTTGCGACAGTGTCATCATCAGAATCCACGAGCTCACCCTCACAGGAAATGCTTGAATTATCCGCGGCATCATTCTCAGCTAAAGTCTCAGACTCCAGCAGGCATTGCTCAGGCAACAGCAAAAGATGGCGCGGGTCCGTTTCAGCCACATTGCCACGGGCCAAAACGGTGCATGGCGGACCGAATTGCACGGATGACTGCCCGCTGACATCGCAAAGCCGGCAGCACATCATCACGGCGATGCTTTTATTTTCTACGCACCCAGAACAGTTGCGCAGCACGCTACTCCACACCGACCTGGATCTGTAGCCCCCACCTCAATAGTCTTCAGGCCGTGCCTCGTACAGCTACGAGCCTCCTCCCCTGCCAAGAAAGTATACTTGACCAGACAACGCCGCAAGTGCGCCATGGCCGTGGCGTACGCCATTGTTGGCCCCTTTGTAACAGCAAAGAGGAAGTCACGCTCAGGGCATGTTTTGTGGGCCAAAAAAAAATCAGCGCCCAGCCGCTGCGCCCAGCCATAATAGCCCCCGAAACAGTAGGTTCGTTTGTCCTTGTTTGCGTAGGTCCAAATTGTGAGCTTCGCACCGCTCCCAACCGCCATAGAAAACAGTCTGCATGAGCTTCGCTGGAAGGATATGGCCACCCAGGGCGAACACCTTCAACAAAAACTTTTACAAAGTTTGAAGTCCGAGGGTGGAGCCTTGGGCTGATGGGCTTTCAGCATGCAGTGCGGACTCTAATCAAGCTCTAATGAAGATGCCTATGGTACTTCTGACCGAAGATACAGATTGAGCCATTTCCAAACGTGCTCCTCCCCTCAATACGGAGCACGTACGGAGATGGAGTTGGGGGGTGGGTTGTTTTGGTGCTGTTGGCCAAACAACCACTGGAGTGTTGGGCTGTTGGGAGCACACTATCTGGCAATCCGAACTCTTATACACCTGGATCTCCCAGGATGGAGCCTTGGACTGATGGAGAGCCCATGATTTGTTAACATCAGGTCTCTTGCGAGACCCACGCTCAATCAAATGTCATGGGAAAAATCATGCATGTGAACCTGTCCTTTTCAATCTGTTCGTGGCCGCTATGTCGTGACAGCGGCTTCGCAATGCGTCTACAACGTGTCTTCTGAAGCCGTCTTCGCTAATCCAATGCGTCTTCGCAATGCGTCTTCGCCTCTCCAATGCGTCTTCGCAAAGCGTCGGTCTGCGCATATCCAATGTGTCTTCGCAATGCGTCTGCGCCACCCAATGCGTCTTCAAAATGCGTCTGCGCCTTCCAATATGCGTCTTCACCCAATGCGTCTTCAGAATGCGTCTGCGCCTGCTAATGCATCTGTGCCCATTAGGCCTTTTCTTGACGAATGCGCCTTCAACATGCGGATGTGTCTTCAGGTCGTGTGCCACACTCCGCCAACCCCATAATGCATATATCCATCTCAAGCTATCGGCGATGAAATGAAAGAAAAAGGCATAACACCAGCCGGGGCACACAGCTGAAAACCGGAAGTGGATCAGGATCGCCTCGCGCCGATGCCAGCAGGAACAGCCAGAGCTTGTGCACGGCCATAGCATGCCAGCGATCGGATCTTGGGCTTTAGGGAGAAAAGATTGGAGCTGAGGGTCCTGAGGGGTTGGGTGTTGGGTTCAGCGTTCCGGGTTTGGGGCATGCCCGGGCCACCGTGGTGTGGTGTCTGTGGTGGAAAATAAACAGAAAGCCGCCAAGCCTCTAAGAGAGACGGCTGCAGGCAGACATTAATTTCGGGTCTGGGGGTTTGAGGGTTTGGGGAGAAGGGTGGAGGGTTTAGTCGCGGGCGGCCATGGGCCTAGGGTTTTTGAGCATTTGGTTTTTGAGGCTTTCCAACAAAGCTGTGCACGCATGCATAGATACTATACATGCTATTACTCACATGGGTGTAACATTATGCTATGCATGTATGCATATATACATGCACATACACGTGAATGCACAAGCACGGGCATTCCCACATTTACACATACACGCATACAGACACGCACAATCCCACACATGTACTGCCTATGGCTTTGCATTGCCATGGCATGCTTTACTACTGCGATACAACCTACGCAGCACATGCGCCGATAGGGCAAGCGAGATGTGGCTCGAAGACAGCAAGCATCCCAGAATCCATCCGAATCCAAAGTACCGTCAGGCGGATGAAAGGTCGGATCTTTCGAAACCTAGCTCGATAGGAAGTGCGGAATAGAGTCCAGGACCTCCGGGCGCATGTTTGCAAGGAGATTTATCCCCTCTGACACATCTGCTTAGCCTTCCGTAAAGTGCGAGACATGGAACAGAGATGCCATCAATCCAGCTACCAACGGATATCGGAAATCCAGAGGTATTCTGAAGGCTTACTCCGACCAGCGAACACTGCGCAGTCAGCAAGTTAGCAAAGGGCTTACCCTGTTTCTACTCTTGCTCGTGTGAGTGTCGTGCGTCGCGATAAAGGCCACCTGGGCGCCGTGATCGATGATACCTCAACAACAACAGTTTGCGAAACTCTGTCCAATGCAGCAACCCCAACTTTTTCAAACCCACTTCAAGCCCTAATCGGACACGCCGCAGGCAACGTCGTCGTTATCATCATCACCATCATCATCGTACGTATCCTTATTCTTCTGCACCATCGACAACAGCCATCATCATCATCATCACAATCTTCATCGTCAACAGCATCACCATCATCATCCAGCAAAAGGCGTCGCGAACAAAACAAAAAGCGAAACAACTTGCCTGGGCCTCAACAACAAAAACGACTAGTGTCAAGGACGGCCGTCTGGGCGCAATTGCTGACTTGGAGTAGGAGCTGGCTTTTCAGGCGCTTGAAGGGCAGCGAGGAGATGGAGCCACGTGTGTAGGCGTCGATCACAATCCTGCTGGATCCCTAAACCCTAAACCCTAAACCGAGTTTCGGAGAAAAAGGGGGGAGAGAAAGCACAGAGGCTGCAGAAGCCTGAACTCCTGAACCCTGGCATCCTTGTCACACCTCCCCCTGGCTTGTAAGGAAGAAGCAATCTTCTCCAAAAATCGCCTCATGAGTTCGCCCCCCAGTTTCACCAAGGATCTTGGCTCCAACATCGTCGAAGCCTCCGAAGCCGCAGAAAGGAGGGTAGACCTTGACGCACCCTCCGCGCAGATCTTTGAGCTTTCGCACCTCAAGCCGATCGTTTGGAGCTGCATAGGTTGGGGCTATCTGCGTGCCTGTTTTGGGCCCGTCGCTCGGAGAAGTTATCAAGGGTATCATATATAAATCTGGTGACCTCGCATACGATACTACACAAAACTATGCTATACTAGATTGTATTGTACTAGACTATACCGGGCTATGCTATATACTATAACCTGTAACACAAGACAGCCATCGCCCTAGCAACACAAGCCGCAGGCCGAGGGGCCTCCTCTTCCTGCAGGAGCCCTTCATGCGCCAGGAGGAGGTTCTGAAGGCTCTCCACCAGCTCAGGAAGCTTCCGCATGTCCGTGAGGACCCTCACCTCCTCGCGGATGGGCCTGAAATCCTTCAGGGTCTTGTTGACCACATAATCCTTCAGGAGGTTTTGGTTTGGGATGTGGACCAACATGCCGTCCAAGCCGTTGAGGTGCGTATTGATGGGACCAATTTCCTCGACCATGCCAACCATCTTGTCATTTCCCAGGCGTATCTCGTCGCCTCCGCACAGGACGTCACGAGCCCCCGAGAGCTAACATGAACAAACATCGGATCACAGACCGCCGAGAGTTCACCTTTGAGCAACAAATTCCCGTTTGCTGCGCTAAAACACAAACAAGCCGTCACACACGGGGAGAATCAATGCCCAGGGCGAAGAAGAAGCTGGCACTAAGAACAGCTTCTTATAAGCAGGGGGTACAAGTAGGAGAACTATCGTCAGAACAACCATATTGAAGGTCTTATAACCCTACCTATAGCTAATCATAAACCTCCAAGTATGCTCCCAAAGATGAGCGGCCTTCGACGAAAGGCCTGTTCAACTGAATCAAGGCACCTGCAGACGATGGCTTCCGGGTCTCGGGTTTAGGGGTTTTCGGTTAAGAGCGATTTGGGCCGAGGGTTCAGGGTTTGTTGGCTTCGGGTTTTGGGGTCTTGGGGAGTTGCAGCGCACGGTTCGGGCACTAGTCCTGGGCTTCTTTGGGATGCGCAGCGCTTCCGAGAATTCCCAGAGACCTCGGAAGGTTTAAGAAAGCGAAACAAACAAACTGGTAACTATCCCCTCAGACTTCCTTCTAAACCCTGAACCGCAAAGCGCTCAAAAGCCCTGACAAAGTAGCCCTTGAAGCGACCCTTCAAGTAACCCTTAAAGTTAATGTTATAGTAGTTATATAGTAGTTATAGTAACCCTCATAGTAATCCTAAGCCCTAAGCACCATGCCTGCAATGAGGTTCCCCACCACATTCCTCGCTGCCAAGCCCACTGCGAGACCGCCCACCCCGCCCAGAGCAAGGACCACTTGCGGCCTGCGTGCGGCGCTTGAAATAAGGTTTTGTAGGGGGCTTTGGGGTGTTTGGGGCATTAAAGGTTACGGTTTCGGGGGCTTTGGTGGTGTGGCGGCTTTAGATGTTTAGGGTGTGTGGGCGTTTGGGGTTTCCGGCCTCAGGTGATTGGGGGCTCTACGGCTTTTGAGCAGTTCGGGGCTCTACGGCTTTAGAGGTTTAGCTTCAGGCAACCCTAAACCCCAAACCCGAAACCCTAAAAGCCTACCCTTGGGATCCTGAGGGTTGGGCATGGCTCAAGCGGCCTTTTGGGGCTTGCAGGGATCCGCTTCGGGACCCGATCATGGGCCTTGTCAAGTCTATAGACCTTCAAAAGAAGCGAAAGACAAAAACTCGTCTGGTCCATGTAGGAGAAAAACCGAAGACTGTCAACTTGGCAGATAAGTAGAGCACTACTGCTGCTGCTGCCACAGGGGTTACAACAAGTAAGGGTTACTATAACGGTTATTATAGCCATTACTATGAGGTATAAGGTTCTGTACTTGTAGCTACTTACTATAACCGTTATTATAAACATTACTAATTACTATGAGGTATAAGGTTATGTACTACTAGTAGCTTCTATTTAAGAAACCAGCCGCCTCAGCCCCGCAATGGCCAGCCAGGGCCACAGCATGGCGCAGACCACCTGAGCTTGTCGTGATGGCTCTTCATTGCTACTGGTCGAAAACGTCTGTCTATCGATCTATCTATTTATGTATCTATCTACCTATCAATCTAACTGTCTATCTAATCTACCTATCTATCCTACCTACCTAGCTATCTAACTATCTATCTAGTCTGCCGGCCCTACCTACCTACCTAGCTATCTAACTATCTATCTAATCTGCCTACCCTACCTACCTACCTCATATACATATACATATACATATACATATACATATACGTATACGTATACGTATACGTATGCGTATGCGTATGCGTATGCGTATGCGTATGCGTATGCGTATGCGTATGCGTATGCGTATGCGTATGCGTATGCGTATGCATATGCATATGCATATGCATGCATACATACATACATACATACATACATACACACATACACACATACCTACATTATCATGTACAACTAGAACAGCATTAGAACAAATATAACACACATAACATATATGTGAAATATAAAACACATCAAACTTCAATGACATATAAGACATACACATCATGCATATCACATATAACAGATAGATAGGTAGGTAGATAGGTAGATAGATAGGTAGATAGATAGGTAGATAGATAGGTAGATAGATAGATAGGTAGGTAGATAGATAGACAGATACAGCTATAACACAAACATACTTAGATACACACATACTCACTTAAATACATACTCACTTAAATACATACATACATGCATACATACATACATACATACATACATACATGCAGACGTACATGCATAGATGCAGCCAAACATGTATGCACACGGCCATGCGCACAGAGGAGGGCGACGAGAAGCTGCTGCTGTTGTTGCGGCTGTCCCACTGTTGGTATCAGCATTGTCAAAGCCAGGATTTTGCAGTGCAGGGAAGCCGAGCCGCCACCACCACGTCGGTGACTCGGCTCACCAGCATCACCCTCCTTGCCAGAAGTCTGGACTTCGCCTGCACGTGGCATTCGCATTCCATGACACGTTGACTTAGGGCTGCGACTCTCGTGTGCTTAGAGGTCTGCAGTTCGTAGGGTTGCAGTGGTGTGCACGTGTGCACTGAATGACATATTGCGAGCATGCTTTGCCAAGTGCAGCCTGTGTGTTGCTCGAACGTCTGAGTTTTCGCACCCGCCCACTCCGCCCAAATCGGTGGGGTGGCAGGTGGTCTCACATGCCCGGCGTTTGAAGACCGGCACGATGAGACCAACCTACCGCCGCCTGCCGATGCTTGCAGCAAAACAGGGCCTTTGCTGTCGCATGTTCTTCTTGTGCATAGCTGTGCGAGCATGTCGCGGAAAAACTTCGGACGCTGATGCTTTATGGTGGGAAATCCTCAACTTCCCAGCCGAGACCGGTGAAGCGCCTCCCGTGGGTTCTGCAGTGCATACATCATCCTGCAGGGAGCGAGGATTCTTGGAGCTGGGTTCGGAGAGTTCGCCGTCCGCAGTTCGCCTAGCCGAGGAGAGGAGGGTGACGATCTGCCCACAGGGTTTTGGCTTGGGGCGCCCGTTAGTCATATGCCATCAAGCATCCGACACCAGAAGCGCACAGGCCAGAAGGTGCTGGAGGATGTCGCCGGAACGGCAACCCTCAGCTCACGGCGAGCAATGCTGTTTTTGGTGTGAAAACCGCGGGAGACATGCGAGTGGAATAGCGGGACCATGCGACTTTGGGATAATGTCACAAAATACGCAAAACTCCACGTTCTCTCGCTGGGAAAACAAGATTCTTGGACGCCTACATTCCCAACAAAAACGATTCTCGGATTATCATTTCGTTCCCAACGACATGGGTTTCCCACATTGCTCCTATGTGTTTTGGGGTCCCTTTTCTCAGAATCGTCGCACGGTGGGCACAATGCATGGTCCCCAAGACCCCGGAAAATCAAAACAGCGAAGCCCTCCGGTGGGATTCTTGGACTCTTACTTGTCATATTATACTATATCATATTATAGTTATACTATATCATGTTATCGTTATACTATATCCCTTTCTCGTTATACTATATCATGTTCTTACACTAAACCATAGTATGCTTATGCTCTAACGGCTCCAACGGGTCCATCCCAGGGATTCGCCGAGCAGCTTCGGGGGCCTCTTGAGCTTCAAGACCTGTTGGTAGAAGGTCTCTCTACATTGGGGTAGATCCCTTATGAAAGGGATCTATGAGGGTTTTCTTGCTGTTTATAGGGCTTCTATGAAGGCACTATAAGGGCTCTACATGGGGTAGTTCTCTGAATCAGGGTCCGGCTCTTACGGCTCTTCTTGTAAGGGTGCCGCCTTCTTTTTTGGGGGACCTGACCTGTATCGGGACCCTGAATTTTGTGAACTACCCACCTGGTATCCGACGATGGAGCTCATGGCAGCGCCGAGTATTTGCCGGCTGAGTCGGAAGACGAAGGAGAAGACCTCTCTCAGGCTCCCTGTAGGACCATGGGCATTAAGCCCATTAAGCCACATTGGGTGCGACACTGCATCGAGAACGCAGGAATCGGTCCTAACCTCCACCGGCCCAGCCCTGGGCTTTGGGTGTGGGCGTGAAGAAACTGCGCGGCTGGGCTTCGGATGCAGCTTTTTGGATTTGCTTGCAGGGCTGGGGCTCCATTCACTACCGGCATCAGAAAGCCCCAACCCCTGTGCCGGCACCAGCTGCAGCGGCCGTGCAACAACAGCAACAGCGAAAGCCAACATGCTTCAAAAGGGAGTAGCCGCAGCCGCCAAAGCATCAAGAGGAAGAACAACACCAGCAGCAGCGGAAGCAGCAGCAAGGCAGGGAAACTGTGACATCAATAACGATAAACAGAACTATCTCAACCAAGACGATGAAGTCACGACCGTGCGACTGCGAATCTTCTGGCGATGATGATGATGATGATGATGATTGTGATGGCTGTGATGATTGCAACACCAACAGTATAAATGATGAATATAACAACAGTAGTGAGCAGCAGCGGTATATAGCCATGCCGATGACGACGAGGAGGAGGAGGAGGAGGAGGATCAGAGGAGGATGAGATGAGGAGGAGGATTGGGATGACGATGACGACGATGAGGACGAGGACGAGGACGAGGATGAGGATGAGGATGAGGATGAAGATGATGGTGATGATGATGATGGTGGTGATGATGATGACGACGGTGATGCGAGAATGGCGAACACTCACGATAATAACGAACAACGATCGTGATGGTAAAACAATGAATGGAAGCACAGAAGCACAGACAAACGCTGATGCGCATCACCGGGCTCCGAACCCTGTGCCTCGTCGGCTGTAACTCTGCCATCGCCGTTAGCATCCAGGATCATCCTCGGTCGCGCCGGGCTTTGTCGGCTTATCCAAGAAAGAGGTGAGGAAACTGAGTGAAGACCAATAGCGACTGGCGCCTGTTGTACGTATGCAATAGACCACCATGTCTAGATCTGCCTGCGAAAGAGATGGGCCATGGCGAAGCCGATGCTGATCTTTTTTGGTTCACAGGGCTGAGGCGGGACATCGTTGCTTCCCGAACCTGTTCAAGCTCAAGGTTTGGGTGAGAGCTACTTCTACTCCCAAGCCCCCAGAATACTTCAAAAAGCCCTGGAAAATCACAAGACACGCGCAAACAGAGACAGAAGCAGCCGAAGGCTCTTTCCTGGCCCCTCTCCCCGGGCCGAGGATCAGTATTGCTCCCAGGGTTCCTTATTCTAATCGTACTATACTGCACCCTAAACCCCTAAACCCCTAAACCCCTAAATCCCTCAACCCACCCAAATCACTTGAACCCCTAAACATTAAAGACCCTAAAAAGGGACCAAGGCTCAAGTAGGGCTCGCTCTTGCTCAGGTCTAGGCTCCAGGTCTTTGGCAGGACCCGGGCACCGAAGTTCACCGCCGAGAAGGCCAGGAAAGCTCGCGAGAAGCCCAGGAGGAGGCCTCGGGCGCGGTTTTTCTTGGGGGGGTTTTGAGGGCTATTTGGGGTATTGGGGTTTTTAAGGACTTAAAGATTATAGGGTTTAGGGTTTAAGGATTTAGGGTTTATAGGGTTTAGGGGTTTAAGGATTTAGGGCTTATAGGGTTTAGGGTTGAAGGATCTAGGGTTTATAGGGCTCGGGATCTGTAGTCCCGTGAAAAAATTAGTAATAGGGGGTTTGAT